CAGATTTCGTAATAAAGGGAGGGGGGTCTCATTTCGGGGGGGGGTCTCTTCCGGGCTATCTTGGAGGGCCTGGGGGGTCTGGGGACGATGTTTTGGAGGGTTCTCCCACGGGGGAGGCCTGAAATGGCTTGTCTTGGAGGGTCCAGACCCCCTCCCTTTTTTTTATACCAAATCTGGAGTACTTTCAACGACCGGCGTGTTCGCGTGATCGACGGATCTCCTTCGGCGGCGAGGCCCGGCGGGGGAAGCGAGGATGGGGGCGGGCGGCGGGCCCCCTCGGATGCCCTCGCGCCTCGCGGAGAGACCCTGTGCGTCCTCCTCCGAGGCGGCGGGCGGCTGCTCGGAGGGCCGGAGGGCTCCAGAGAGCTCCCGCCGCCTTCCGAGCAGGCCTGCCCCCTCCACAGTCGGGGCCTTGACCTAAGGAACCTTAAATAAGGAACGAGGCCCCTTTTTGTCCATAAGCTAGACTTCGAGATTTCCCCTGGAAAACCCGACGCAAACTGTAAAACAATCAAGGAACACGGAGCCCCTCCCCAACGAGAAGGGTTCCTTCTTCAGGACCCCTACTGTACCTCCCCCCCCCCGGCATGTCTCAGAGCACGGCAATTGGGGTCGGCGGTCAAGGCAGAAGCCACCGGATAGCAGGATACCAAGGTGCATGCCGCTCGACGGAGCCACCTGGATGAGCACCCAACGGCGAAGAGAGACCTCGACTCCTGGCCCGACCAGATGGCCACGTGGGGCTCTAAAAACAAGGCGTTATGGTCCGCTGGACCATTCGCAAGCTGAGCATCTGGGGCCCCAGCCCTCATGATCCTGCTCCTGCTCCTGCTGCTGCTGCTGCTGCTCCTTTTTCTCCCTCCTCCCACTCTGCCTTTTGGCTCAAGCCGTTTTGGCTCATGGTCCAGCCGAACCCCCCGCCCTTTCCGCCGCTGTCGGCCAGCTCACTCCCGCGCTGCACCGTGGCCTTCAAGATGCGTTCCCGGCACTCTCAGCACGCGGCTGGCACAAGCAGGAACCAATGACTTGCACATTGTGGCGCCTGCTCCATTCCCTCTCCGTGACATTCGTCACTGTGCTATTCCTAGCTTCCTCCTCCGCCTTCTCCTGCTCCTCCTCCTCCTCCTCCTGCTCCTCCTGCTCCTCCTCCTCCTCCTCCTCCTCATCATCCTCCTCTTCCTCCTCCTCCTCCTCATCATCCCCTCCGTTTTCCTCCTCCTCCTCCTCCTCCTCCTCCTCCTCCTCCTCCTACTCCTCTCCTCCTCCTCCTCGTCCTCCCTCGTCCTCCCCCTCCTCCTCCTCATCCTTCTGGCTGCCAGCCGAAAGTCCTCACTGGATGCCTTCTCTCCTCCTCCTCCCTCCTCCTCCTCCTCCTCTCCTCCTCCTCCTCCTCCTCCTCCTCCTCTCCTCCTGTTCCTCCTCCTCCTCCTCCTCCTGCTCCTCCTCTTCCTCCACCTGCTCCTCCTTCTCCTCCTCCTTCTCCTCCTCCCCTCCTCCTCCTCCTCCTCGTCCTCCTCCTTCTCCTCCTCTCCTCCTCCTCCTCCTCCTCCTCGCATCCTCCTCCTCTCTGCCGAAGGTCCTGACTGGATGCCTGCTCCTCCTCCTCCTCCTCCTCCTCCGCCTCCTCGTTCGCTTTCTCTTTCTCATTATCATTCTCTTTCCTCCTCCTCCTCCTCCTCCCTCCTCCTCCTCCTCCTCCTCCCCCTTCTCCTCTTCTCCTCTTCTCCTCTCTCCTCTTCTCTCCTTCTCCTCTTCTCCTTCTCCCCTCTCCTCCTCCTCCTCGTTCCCTTCCTCCTTCCCTCCTCCTCCTCCTCCTCCTCCTCCTTCTGTCTGCCCGCCGAAGGTCCTCACTGGATGTCTTCTCCTCCTCCTCCTCTTCCTCCTCCTCCTCCTCGTCCCTCCTCTCCTCCTTCTCCTCCCCTCCTCCTCCTCCTCCTCTCCTGCTCCTCCTCCTGCTCCTGCTCCTCCTCCTCCTCCTGCTCCTCCTCCTTCTCCTCCTCCTCCTCTCCTCCTCCTTCCCTTCCTCCTCCTCCTCCTCCTCCTTCCCTCCTCCTCCCCTCCTCCTCCTCCCCCTCCTCCCTCTCCTCCTTCTCCTCGTCGTCCTCCTCCTCCTCTTCCTTCTGGCTGCCCGTCGAAGGCCCTCACTGGATGCCTTCTCCTCCTCCTCCTCCGCCTCCTCCTCGTCTGTCCATCCTCCGCCGCTCTACTCAGACATGCCGAATTTAGCGGCACTTTGCCGAGAAAGCAGCTAACGACTACAATAATAGCTACAATGGCGGATGGGAACGAGGGCCAACGCAAGGGGCGGAGGAGAGGGGCGAGAAGCATAGAGGGGATAAGGGGGGGGGACGAAGTGGATGGCAGTGGGGTGGGCACGGGGGAATGGGGAGCGGACGAGACGAGGAGAGAGGAAATGGGAATGGCAGGAACCCTCGTGCCTCCTCCCCTGACGCTGGCCCCAGCTTCGCGAGGTATTCCAGCCGGCGTGCGGAGAAGCCTGCGCCCAGCTGCACGCCCCGCAGAGGCTGTCTGGACAAAAATACGGCTGCAAGCGCGGAGGCCCGCAAACATATCGCTCGGAGTGTGAAGATGTTTGATGGTCCCGAGCGCACGAAAAGCATCGGACACGTGTCGTCAACTTCTGGCGGAGTCGCGGACCACGAGCAGGTGAGCAACAGCTGCCACCGTGCCTCCGTGCGTCGGGACGTGTTAGAGCACCTGTTGGCTGCCCGATTGGGTTCGTGCAACTCTCCAGGGGGGCCCCCTCCTGACTGTCGAAAGCGACACTTGATCGCTTTCTTGAAGTATTTCTTTTGTCCATGGGTGCCCTTGGAATTCGATCTATGTTGGTACTTGATGTGAGTATGAACCCTGGTGATGCCGCCCTGGATGGTCGGTAAGGTCAAAAGCAACCATGCGTTTCCCCGTGCGACAGTTTGTTACCTGTCACACAAGTCCGCTACCGTGCCTTCGAGGTACGAGTTGGACGGTCCTCTGGTCCCTTGTTGGAGTCCCTGGAGCCTCGATCGTCAATCCTGAAGACTCTTTCGGGAGCGGCCAAGAGGGGGGTGTCCGAGAGGTGGGGGTGCAAATCATGACCGGCGGCATGTGCGCGGCCCAGCGGGGGGGCCAGGGACGTAATGAAATAAGCCTCCCGCCCCAAGGGGCCTCCAAGAGCCCCCCAAGAGGCCCCAGGGAAGCCCAACACGCCGCCGAGGGGCCCCAAGACGCTCCCAAGAAGCCCACATGACGGCCCCAAGATGCCCCAAATGGCGCTCCAGGGCCGGCGGAATGAGCGGAGCGATGAAACAAGAAGAGGCGCCATGAGATCTGGGGAAATGTCATGGCCCCCGCCTTGAGATCCCCCCCCCAGTCATCACCCCCCTCTTCGCCGCCCCCGAAGTCTTCGAGGGGCCCGCACTTGCCAACTCGGCCGGGGCGCGTCGCGTGGTCCCCGCGGGGCCCGGGGCGCGCCTCCCCGCGCGACGCCTTCGGGCCGCCAGGGGGGCCCCAGAACGGGCTCCCGGAGGGCCCCGCGAATGAAGGGGCCCCAGGACACACACACAAATAGATACACACAAATAAACATATTCCCCCACATTTTCCCACATCTTCTGGGTTTCTGTCTTCCCCCCGCCACTTCCCATATTTTCTGGGGAACCGAGGATTCATTGTGTCTGTGTGTTTCTTTTCCTCCTGAGCGAAGCCGCCCCGACGGTCCACGAGGGCACCGAATCGCCGCGCGAGCGTGCCAAGACGCCCGGGATGGCCCCGAGACGGCCCGAGGAGACCTCGAGGCGCCCACGGAGAGCACCAGGAGCCTTCCCAAGACGGCCCCGAGAGGCCAACATTTTCCCCTACCTAGGCTCTGCCTAGAAGGATTCTTACTTTCTTGGCTTAAAGAGGCCGGGCAATGCGACCCGCCCCGGGCGGTTCCCCCAGTCCCCTGGGAGCCAAGCAAAAGCAACAGCAAAGGTAAAAGCAAACGCGCGGTTCCCCCAGTTGCGCTCCCTGGGTGCCAAGCACAAGCAAAAGCAAAGGCAAAAGTGAAGGCAAAAGCGAAGGCAAAGCAAACACATAGCATAGCATAGCATAGCATTAGCATAGCATAGCATAGCGCAGCATAGCATGGCGCAGCATAGCATAGCATAGCCTAGCCTAGCCTAGCCTAGCCTAGTCTAGCCCAGCATAGCATTGCGCAGCATAGCATAGCATAGCATAGCATAGCATTAGCATTAGCATTAGCATAGCAGAGCAGAGCATAGCGTAGCACAGCACCGCTCCTACTATTGTTGCTTTCCTAGAGGCTCCAACTCCTAGGTAGGGTCGCACTGGGATAATTTGATGCTTCTAAGGTTGTTCCATGTTTTTTGGGTCCTCGACTTTTCGAGCATCTGGCGCTCCCAGACGGCCGAAGAAGCCCCCAAGACCGCCACAAGAGGCCCCCAGGAGGGCCCCCAGACAGCCCAAGCGGGCTCCAAGACGGCCTTAGAGGCGCCCAGGACGGCCCAAAGACAGCCCCCCAAAAGGCCCAAGACGGGGAACACGAACGGAAAGTCCGAGTCTTCCGCGCCAAGAAGTCCCTAGGAGGCCCCAAGGAGGCGCCAGGAGGCCCCCCAAGAGGCCCCAAGAGATCCTCAAGAGGCTTCCAAGACGCCCCCAAAGGCCCCCAAACGGTCCCCAAGAGGCCTCCAAACGGCCCCCAAAGGCTCCCCGCGACATCCCAACGAACATCCTACAGGCCTACGACCCACAACCCAGGCACGGTGGCGGGATGGGCCGAAAGCCATTCCATATATTGTGACAAACTGAAAAAACTTGAGACAACGGAGAGACAATGCCAAACTCGTGAGCGATTCGGACACAATTCGAGCATACACGGCGAAGAACCCAACTGCACGAGTAGCAGCACTTGGCGAGAAAACCCGCGCGCGACTGACTCAGCCTGGAAGAACAACAACACAATCAATGGACAAGAGGCTGGCAACCCGGCCAACGGCTCAAGGAAGGTCGCCCTCGGCCGGGAACGACATTCCGGTCGATGCTTCTAAACAGCCCCGCCAGTCGTCCTTCGTCTTGAAGGGGTGGAAAGCTGCAACCTCACCTAGGAGGAGGAGGAGGAGGAGGAGGAGGAGGACGAGGAGGAGGAGGGAGGAGGAGGAGGAGGAGGAGGAGGAGGAGGACGAGGAGGAGGAGGAAGATGAGGAGGAGGGAGGAGGAGGAGGAGGAGGAGGAGGAGGAGGAGGAGGAGGGAGGAGGAGGAGGAGGAGGAGGAGGAGGAGGAGGAGGAGGAGGAGGAGGAGGAGGAGGAGGAGGAGAGGAGGAGGAGTAGGGAGTAGGGAGTAGGGAGTAGGGAGTAGGAGTAGGAGTAGGAGTAGGAGTAGGAGTAGGAGTAGGAGTAGGAGGAGGAGGAGGAGGAGGAGGAGGAGGAGGAGGAGGAGGAGGAGCAGTGGCGCACTTTTGGCTCTGCGGGTGTGCCGCGCCTGCCGTCGCAAGTGCGTGCGGGAGATGGTGCCAGCACGCTGTGCTCCGCGTGCCCACCGTCCTATCACCACCACCTCCGTGCGCACTGTACACGCACGCACTACAAAACCACAACCACCATCACGACCACGATCACAAATTCCGCGTCCGACGACGGTGTCGCCGACGACGCTACTGCCACTACTGCAACTAAGCATGCTGCAACATCACTTTCAACGACTGCTACTGCTCAAGTAAGAGTCGCGTCGATGCCAATAGCAATCGCTGCGTTCACGCTGGACAGCTCAGCCACCGTGTGGTCTGGTGCGCTCTGCTCTTGTATTTTTGTGTTTTCGTTATTTACGCCATCGTGCACAACATATGTTGGGATGCTTCCGTATGGTGCATGTACAGAGGAACGAACAACGGCAGAATCAGAAAACTGTTGGAGGTCCACATCGATTTCTTGGGTCTGCGCTGGACCCCCCTCCATCCCTGGCGCGCCTCTGGCGCAAGGGGCGGCGCTGGAGGCGCCGCCGAGGGGGTCCCAGCGCAGATCCAAGAAATGCGCGCGGACTGCCAACGATTTATGCTTCTGCAGATTTTTCTCCTTCGGATGTCTGATGGGTGCATGTAGTACAGTCGGGGCGTTGACCTAAGGAACCCTGAATAAGGAACGAGGCCCCTTTTTTCCACAAGTTAAACTTCGATTTCCCATCGAAAACATAAGGAAAACCTGAGGCAAGCTGTGAAACAATCAAGGAACACCGAGCCCCTCCCCAACGAAAAGGGGTCCTTCTCCAGGGCCCCGGCTGTACACTGCGACGGCCGCAACTCGTTCCCAGAACTCCTGTGCTGCTGGGTCCTCGTGTTCTCTCCGCTGCTCCGCGCGTCCGGTCCTCCTCCCTCCTCCTCCTCCTCCTCCTCCTCCTCCTCCTCCTCCTCCTCCTCCTCCCTCCTCCTCCTCCTCCTCCTCCTCCTCCTCCTCCTCCTCCCCCTCCCCCTCCCCCTCCTCCTCTCCTCCTCCCTCCTCCCCCTCCTCCTCCTCCTCCTCCCTCCTCCTCCTCCTCCTCCTCCTCCCCCTCCTCCTCCTCCCTGCCTCCCTCCCTCTCCCCCTCCTTCCCTTCCTCCTCCCACTCCCTCCTCCCTCCCTCCCTCCCTCCCTCCCTCCCTCCCTCCCTCCCTCCCTCCCTCCCTCCCCCCTCTCTCCCTTTCCCCTCCCTCCCTACGCCCTTCGCTCGCAAGCCCCACGGCGCGTCCCTCCACCCTCGCGGGTGGCTCCCGGCCCTCTCGTGCTGTCGGGCCCTCGCCGCCCCTCCGCCCCGCGCCCGCCGCCGCCGCTCTGCTCGCACGTCGCTGCCCGCGTGCCCGCCTCGGCACGCTCCGCGCGCGGATGCAGAGGGGTTTTAAGTTTTGGTCGGGCGTGTCCTCCTACAGGCGGATATTTTGGAGGAAGGATCATCAGTAGCCCCAGGATGCCCAGAGGCGGAGGAGGAGGAGGAGGAGGAGGAGGAGGAGGAGGAGGAGGAGGAGGAGGCGGCACAAAAGATAGGGAGAGAGATCGTCCCCAGGCTATTTGGGGAATCTTCCTCCTGCAGAGGGACGTGCTCGACTTCATCCCGAGTTCGCGCTGCGCGAAGCGCGAACAGCTTCGCGCTCTCGCGCCGCCCCCCCCGCCCAGAGGAGAAGAGGAGGACGAAGCGGAATCGGAGCCGAACCGCGAAGCGCGCACGCCTTCGCGCCCTTCGCGGGCGCCCCTGCGGGGCGTGCCCCACGAGGAGCTCCACGTTCGGCCTCGGTGGGCACGCGCCCACGCAGGCCCGCCCCTCGCGCGGACCGTGCCCAACAAGGAACCTGGCCCACGGCCTCGGTGGGTGCGCTCTTGCACGCGCGCCCGCGCCCATCCCGGCACGCTCCTCGCGCGGATCGTGCCCCGGGGGGGCAGCCTCAGTGGGCGCGTTCGCAGGTGGGCCCGCGCCCATCGCAGGACGCCGCTGACGCTCACGCGGATCGTGCCCCCACGTGGGGCTCAGCGCG